CCGTTCTTTCAGGGATTTCTCTCACTTTAAAGCCGGTTCAGAAGAGGCTCAAGTTACTGACACCATCAACAACAGATGTGGGTCAGCATCGATGACTGGCATGAGAATCCAGACATCATTCACAAGAAATTCACCTAACCCAGCGGACGTCAAGCTGTTATATAGAATAAGTATGTAAAAGGCTGTTTACATGCCCCATGAAAACCCATGCAGCTGGAGAGGAAGATCGCCTCTATTCCCCTGCCACGAAGTGGAGAGTGACTCGACTAGCCCCTCGAGCTTTGACTGCCTTAGTAGCAGCTCTGTGCCAATGCACTCTTCTGTCGTTACGGAACGGGCTACTACTGGGTGCGGAGCAGGTTGTAACGCGCTGCGGGCTCTCTCAACTTTGGCTACGATTTCCAGCTACGGACGACGTCCAACTCCTGGCCTGGTCTGGTCCTTTTGTACTGGGCTGGGCTTGCCTGGGCTGACTGACATGGTTTCCCGAAATAGAATGAAAAGGAAGCAGACAGAGTCGGAGAGGAGCAACCAAAGTCTGTGTGTGATATTGACTGAGTAAGGGAGAGTGTGAGCAAGCAAAGAAAGCGGATGAGGAAGATGAGGAGGAAGAAGAAGAGAAAGAAGAAGAGAAAGAAAGATTAATTACTTACCTCATCTCATGTTAGGTTAGGTTAGGTTAGATAGATAAATGATACCCAATTTGTTGAGCGGCAAGAAAGAAAGTCTACATATATACAGCCAGTCTTACCTTACTGCTTTTTCTTTGTGTTGTGTTGTGTTGTGTTGTGTTGTGTTGTGTTGTGTTGTGTTGTGTTGTCTTTTGCTTGATAAGTTAAGTACTTACCCAGGACCTAAACCTACCTTATCAACCACGACCTTGGCAACTGTTTTCATTCCCATGGGTTATGCTACGATTCGATGATATTGAGAGGAATTAATTAATTACCTTCCTACCATTGTTCAGGACACGATAACTGGAAACCTGGTCAGCAGAATACAGGCTTTCTTTTCTACCTATGTACAGATAGATAGAGTGATAAACAAGTACGGATAGTAGACGGAGTAAAGACAATACAAGAATATGGATTATCTATTCAAGTCTCTTCTTTTCTTTTCTTTTTCAGCCCATGGAAATCACTTGCAATTAACTAAAAATAAACCGAGCAATAAAAGCTCATAAAACTGGGCGATCAAAGCGTCCGTTGGGTATTAATTTGTAAACATATATACATAACGTGCTGTAAGTAAATATCTGCATAGGAGTGGGGTATAATAATGATAATAAAAACATTGGTAGAAAAAGAAGAAAGACAGACATATTCCAACAACGACCAAACCGCCCAAAACTTTTTAATTCTCCTCTTTCACCGTTCCAAAAAATGCTTCATTTTATTGAGAGGGTGATGCTGACGATGATGATGACATGACTCGTTATAATAGGAAGGACAAAGAGCATATCAATGGGATAATGACATCGCTTTTTGTTTCATGTCATGTCGTGTCCCCGTTGGTTTAAAAGCCAGGTGGCTTTTTCCTCTCCAATTTTTCTTGTTGTTGTCCCTCATAATGACCCCGAGGGCCCATATGAGTGACGATGATGATGATGATGACGACGATGATGGTAATGGTAGGTAGAGTAGTGGCGTTGACAGGGTGAGTTTCGTGTTCCCTGCCCAGTATGGATAATAGGTGGGTGGATTGGATGGTCGTTTTTTTGATGTTGAATTTCCTCGTCCCCGTTGCGCCGTGCTTCCCAGTAGTAGATAGATAGTTGATAGTCCGATATTGCTTTTGTTTGACGAAAGACAAGCGCTGATAATAATGCCTGAAGAAAAAAGATGGAGAAAGAAGAGCAAAAAAGATGACAAAGCCTCGCCCTGTTTTTCTTTTTCATCGTCGGCTAAAGGCCGAGCCGACACGGTGCAAGAAGGTGGCGGCGGTGCCCGACCTCGAACCCGAGGAGCTGGCCGAGCTCGCGCTCGCGGCGTCGCTGGCCTTCCTGCCGAACAAGGGGCTGGGGTTCGGGTCGGCGGCATCGTAGACGTTGCCGGCGCCGCCTCGGCCGACGTAGCCGACGCGCTTCTGGTCCAGTTGGGACTGCAGCTTCAGCTCCTCGTCGAAGGACATGACGGGTCTCGGCGAGGACACGTGGGCGTTGCCCGCGCCGCCCCGGCCCGAGTGGAAGCTCGACGTGGTGGGAGGGAGGACCTTGGGTTCGGTGGCGATCCCGCCCGAGGGCGTCGTTGCGGGCGCCCGGAAGTAGTTGCCGGCTCCGCCGCGGCCCGAGTGCGTGTACGTGTTCTGCCGCACTGTCGGGTGAGGCTCTGCGATCATGAAGCTCGGCATCTTGGACGATGGGTCGTGTGTTGGGTATGTGACTGATATATCTGTGGGGATTTGTTCTTTCAGGCGGCGAAGGTTGCACGAGATCGGAGTATTATGATGCGGTATTTTACGGTCCTTTCAAGACTCGTTCAATGTTTTTTCACGGCTGTTTGTGTGACAGTTGTCTACGACTTCTCTTTGTGGTGTGTTGTATGAACAATGGATTAGGCTTTAGGTATCAAGACTTGATAACAACAGGACGACCACCTGAGCCCACAGACCGAGGGGAGGGTACTCTTATAATTGTTTACGATGCCTACCTTGTACATCGTGGGACTTGAAAGGGGTGAAGAAAATTTCTCTTTGTCACGGTTACGACCTACACGCCCCATACTCCCCAGAAGGTTCGAGCGAGAGACCGGGCATATCCAGGTATGTCAGTCAGGCCGGGGCTACCTGGCGTGTGTGCCTGGGTTTGCTTGGCCAGGGGCACGATGGTGTCACCGGACTGTTGAAGAAAATACGTAACTTGTACGGTACAGTAATGCATAAACAACATAAGAAGAGAAGGACGAAGAGAATTTTTGCTGTGTGACCAGATTTGACCGCTGTGTGGGAAAATTTCTTTCCCACAGTATGACCAACAACACATCAAATGGAAAGCTCGAGTCCCGCCTTTTTGGCGCGGAAACCAAGTGGCGCTTTCTACACGGGAGAAGCAACGCCAATGACACCACCGGGCCAGCCTTCAAAGTTCAGACAAAAGCGGACGGAGGAGAGAAGAAAATGCAGGAAAAAGACCGAAAAGGGCTTGGCGGGAGAATGATGTTATGCGGTTTGCAGTTGGGCAATTCGCGACTTTGCAGTTAACGGCAATGGAGTGGAATCTGGGGTAGCCGCGTGATGCAGAGGCTAGCGAAAGCCATTAGCTAACAGAGAGTTACTGTTACGAAATCGGTCTCCATTCTTTCCTTGGAAGCGTGATCATGGGACCCGCGCGCAAGTTTTTCATAGCATAACTATTACCCCATAGATTGCCCCTGGCCCAGGCGATGCCAGTGCAGCCCAGGCGGGATAGGCATCTGCCATCTGCCCAGTCTTCCCGCCTACCTTCCCAAGCCAGTCCGTTCTGCCGCGGCCTTGGAAGCTACAGGCTGGGCTTGCACTGAAAGGGACCACTGTAAAGGACTGTAAAGGGGAAGTCCGCGTGCAGCGATTGGCTCGGCTTCGCCAAATGAGACTAAATTCTCGACCAGAAAAAAAAAATAAAAATATCTGTTGTTTCTGTCAGCTCCTAGACTAGAACCTTGGAACGCTTGGCTCTCTGTTTAGTCACACTCTTGAAAGATGGCTGACTAGCCAGATGATGAGATCGATGCAACATCATATGTCAGGTACGACACATTGCCAGATTTCCTGTTGTGATTGGCTACCCCAGCACGTGCTAGGTTAGGCAGGATTCCTCCATAACGACATTTACAAGGACTGCAAAGCAGTGAAAGCACATCAATGATCACAAGACAACAATGATCTGGCGCCATCACTAGGGCAGCACGCATGCTTTTGCAGGCTCTTGATTTATTCCCGTACAGACGCTGAGCGCATATTAAGCTTTCCGTCGGGAGGTGAAGTGAGATGCATTTAACCTAGGGCCATTTGTGTTGCCTTGTACTGCTGAAGGCTGCTGACCGGTTACGCCGATTCCGAGGCAAAAGGGTGTGTCCCTGTGCTGCATCCAGAAGGGGCGACAATCAAATCAAAATAACAGACATAAGCTGAAAATGGCTTCGCCCGTGACGCTCGTAGGTCTTAAGACGTCACGAGGTAAGGTATCCAAAGGTTAGGCGTCCTACTGCCTTACGCTCCCATGGCCGGTTCCTCATCTTATGGCTCGAATTGTCACAACACGCCAGGTTCTCTTCTCATGAAAAATGGAGGATGAGGAAAAATATCGGATACGCTTTATCACTTCTACTTCTTGGCAGCAGTTTGTCCTTTGACACCACTTGAGGCGCTTTTCATCTTTCCACCAGTCTACCACAATGCCCCTATCCAGAAGCCTACAGCCGCCAGGGAACTAACTTCTCTTTTCCCTTAAGAGGTATGACAGTAAGGGCTAGCCGGGTGAGATGATACCGTCTCCTACCATTCGTAGAGATCAAATGCGTGTTGGGAGATTGTTTGGAATATGTGTATCTCGGCCTGTGAGTCGAATGTGGGAGTGTGATAGGGAAACATGAGATATGACCCGGAGTTGGCTTTCTCCTCGTTGGATGAAATCGACCTTCTACTACCTACACACCGCTTCCACGCAACGGGCATACCTAACCTTAGGTTAGTGACAGGAAGCCTGAGGACGATCATACCCGTCCCGTATGCCGTGGATCCGAAGCGATCTGCAAGCTGGCGTCTGGCGTCCCGCAGCTGGAACGCGAACGCGAGCGGGCGCCTCGTGAATTGGCAGAAGACCGAATGCTGTTCCGTCCTTGCAATTTTGACACGCGAAAACCGGCCTCCATCGCGATTTCCTGAGCATGTCAGAAGTCCTGCCAGATGTCCTTGACGACGCAGAGCTTATTATGAGCTCAACTCCACAAGCAGACCCGATCCCAAGCCGGGGCCCCATTCAAGAGACCAAGTATACGTGGATTATGTCATCAATCAACCAACTCGGTCCCATAGCTCAGTTGGTTAGAGCGTCGTACTAATACTATGACTGGTGTGCAAGCATCCCGTAGCATTGGTAATGCGAAGGTCGTGAGTTCGACCCTCACTGGGACCATCCCTTTTTTGCTTTTGCCCCCTCTCTCTTCCCTTTTTTTGTGTTCGATAGTGGCCGTCGCTGCAGCTTGGTCAGACTCTTCCAATGCCACTCACTCACTGCGGAATAGTCGTCTCCCTGTCCGGGAGGCTATAAAGACCTCTTCCTCTTCCAATCATAATACCGAAATGTCGGCCAGATGCAGTGGCTTAACCTATATACCTTCTAAAACGAGTGAGCAAGAGCCCTGCGGCGACTGAGCTGGGCAACCACGAATAGGGGAGGGGGAATAAGGTTGACTCCCAGTCCGACTGCTGTACTTGAAAGTGTATCTTGATTCTCAACAGTGATCACTCAACTGGTCAAGGCAGAGGAAACCTCGAATGGTTGCTTGCTAACTTAGATGTTTTGTCAATGGTAGAGTGTTATCCCTCCGTGTAGTACCACTAAAGCCAGTTCGATGCCGGTGGTCATGGACTGTGTTTCCACTTTCGAGGGCGCATCTATGTGTGCGCTCCATCTCACCAAGTCTCGAATACTTTCCAGACACTATACAGCATACATCTGTACCGTGTAATATAATATCTAGTCTACTGCTGTAGTCTACCTTACTTTCGTACTTAATAAGCAAGTGACTGACTCGCTCCCCATTCTTCACCATCGAGGCAAGCTACCGAGGCCGCCGCTCTTAACCTCTGCCTAACTAACCCACCCACTCAGTAATGCCGCCAACTACAATTAATAAACATCCCTATCACAAACATATCAAAAAGAAAGCGACAAAGGTCCCATAGCTCAGTTGGTTAGAGCGTCGTACTAATACTATACATATGATAGCATTGGTCTTGTCTTGTCTCATATCTTGGATAATGAAAAGTCTATGCGAAGGCCGTGAGTTCGAGCCTCACTGGGACCAGACAATTCTTTTTGTTCTTTGTTTTAATTTTACCGTTCTTCCCTAGATATGCTGTATACCCCTCCAGACATTCCTGACACCACTCCAACTCTGGGGAAGTGTCCTCGAGTGGTCGATCAGATCAATCTTCTCAGCCAAAAGAACCCAGTCCCGAATGAGTAAACAAACGCCCAACGGAGCCGAGCCAGCCAGCGACTAGGTTACTTACCAATGTCATTAACCTAGACAGCCTCTTGCGAGAGACATCCCATCCCATCAAGTTCTTCCTTACCCTACCCCGGCCAGTCAGTCCTCCACAATGTCACGTTTGCCGTTCCTCTATGGGCGACAAGTAGGTCCAGACTCCAAATCCGACGATCGCTCAGGACGCCCAAGAATCCCGGATAGCAGCTATCTAGCTAGCTGGAGAAAGAGTAAAACTAGATACATGCCTGCTGTGTACTTACTTTACTGTACTGCTGTACGTCTTACTGAGCTGAGGGGATATGTATGTACACGCATCTAATGCTTTCGTGATTTATCAATCGAGTTGATAGGGGAGCAGAGATATCATGTTTCTTCCATACCGAGAGGATTATAATGAAGATCACTCACTCACTGCACTCACTGCACTCACTGATCAGGTATGTAAATGTTCGAATTTAAAGCTAATAACAAAACAGAAAAAAAAGAATACACATGGTCAAGAAAGAAAAGAATGAACAGAAGCGAAAGAAGACTTTTTTATAAAGAAGAAAAAAAGGCAAAAGAATGAGAGCTGCAGGATTCGAACCTGCGCGGTTTCCCATCGCGGAAATGGATTCACGGTTTACCTTGCTACAGGCACAACCTAAACACGACGCCTTAACCACTCGGCCAAACTCCCTAATCTGATTGGATTGTAGACTTTGGTCCAAAACTTAGTCCTATAATCCTAATTCGCAAGTGCCGAATCTTTTAAATCAACACAACCACACCATTTTAAAGCACAATACATACCTTACCCTCTCCCTAAGACATTGCATTCCGTATACATATAATCATGTTCAGAAGGGAAAGCCAAGGCTAGTATTAGAAGCTATACAAGTGCGTTGTGTTGTGTCCTGCTATTGATATATCGAGGTACTGCCACCATTTTTTAATTCTCCTCAGCAAATAGTCCCGTTGCTGGTCGGTCGGGCGGGACATGCAGTGATAATTCATATCGTCGTGTGTAAAAGGGAGAAGTACTTGCTGGTCCTTTGAACCCAGTCATGAGCCAGCTCGCTTCCAGTCCTTCCTTCTCTTTGTTCTTCCTCCGATAATATTACAGAAGGCCGGCCGCCCCTTTTGCCTTCTCGGGAATATTTTGCGTGTGTTGATAGTTGTGCAGACTTTTTGTGTCAGTCTAAAAACTTGCGTAATTCGTCTCTCTATAGACAATATTTCGTGGCGAAAAATTCAAAGGACCATCGTAAATGCAGACGAGAATAATCATCTTCTTCCTCTTCTCCTTCTCCTTTCCCTCTCCTCTACCTGACTCTGTAAAGGTCACTTCACTATATGGAGGAGTCGTATCAAACTCCTGTATCGATTCCCGATCGGGTTTCTATGGCACATGTTCTATTTGCTCCCGTGCTTGGCAATCAGGAAACAAAATGTCCGACCGGTAAAGACGAATATGATAATGTGTGTCGCAAAACGAAAGGATACGAAGCGGTGCTCGACCGGCAAGCCCGCAAGCATGTTCTTTTCCTTGCTTTGTGTTCAGTTTTGGAAATGGACGTGGAACGGCGACGAAGGCGGAATGACGTCAAGATATCGTGAGCGCTTCTCCTAAAACGTCTCAGAATCCTGACTCAACACGCTCGACGGGCTGGCCACTGTGCCAAATGTATCTATCGTTCTCATCCGTTAGCTCAAAGAGTTGCCAAACATGCAAGTTGAACAGGTTCACTAACCGCGTTTGCGCCTCCGATCCATCATCTCACCATCCTCGTTGCGGGATGGGGTCATGGCGCGAGGTCCGCTAGGCCGTCTCGCGGGCATGCCGAGGGCGCCGCTCAGGTTCTTGTTCTCCGGCTTCGGACTCCCCGAATGATAGCTTCCCACGTGCGTGGCGGTTGTCGTGCCGTAGCCGCTTTCGAAGCTTTGATGGGATAGAGGGTTCTGCTTCTGCAGTTGGCTCACCCTCGAGCCCGGCGGTGGGGTCTGTGTTCCTGCCGAATGGTTGTCCAGAGGCTCCTTGGGAGGGCGCGGAGGCCCGTTGGAGCTTGGGGATCCGGCTCCGCCCCAGTTGTACTCCTGTCTCGCAGAAGCCGGGGTGCCATGGTTGTCGTCCATGTAGCTGTTGGCAGATTCGTGATGGAAGGCTTGGAAGGATGTGACCGACCCGCCCCAGCCCTCTGAGCGAGGTGATCTGGGCGATTTGTAGTCGGCCGCCGAAGTTTCTAGGGCGGTCCTGAACCGTTCCGTCTGCCCCGGGCGAGGCTGCGGGTGTTGCAGATTGAGCGAGTCGCGGTGAGCCCGATACTTGGGGTCTTCGGGGGTGGCATATGCCATGGCTGCGGGCGTGTCCCTCTCCATCCCGGGCGTCTGGTGACCATCCATGCCCTGCGGCAGCAGATTGGGCTGCGAGGAGCCGGTGTGGAGCTTGTCGTCTCCGTAGGGGTCTTGGTTTTGGTAGGGATCGAAATCGGCCAGGTCAGAGCCGGAGCGAGATGGTGGGTGTTGTCCAAATTCCTCCGGAGCTTCTTGCTTCCGCGAGCCACCGCTGCTACGGAATGCCTTGCCGATGCTCGAGGCTGTGGTCTCGGACCAGCGCGAGATCTTGGGAAAGAAGCTTGACGAGCCCTTGGACTTATGCCTCTTGCTATCGGCCGTTCGCGGAGTGTTCTCGTTGCTGGCAGATAACGGCGGACCGTGCGAAGTTTGAGGCGGCGTGGCCAGAGGCGCCGATCCACCCCGGTGCCGGTCGCTTAGAGGAGACAGAGGAGACATCATTCTCTCCCGCGGGGAGTACGGTTGTTCCATTCCGCCCGATTGATCATACTCGCCCTCGTCCTCGGGAACGGTGCTGATGCGGTGGTCGGAGAACTTCCGCTCGCTACCTGCCCTCATCGACGCACCGCCGCGAGACTGCGGGATGGAGAGATGGCCCGACTGGCTCGCGTGACTGGCAGTGGAGGTGCCAGCGATGCCTTCTGGTTCATAACCACGATCCTGTTCGTACTGGATCCCGGGCTGGATGTTGTCTAGCGAGTGGGCACGTGTGCTCATCATGCCAGGGGCGGTGGTCTGGTGCTTGAGGACATCCACGTCTGTCAGCAGCCGGACGAGCATATCTTCTATTCTGCTGAGGTCGTTTGTTCCTTTAGCACTCAGACCTTGCAGAGCTCTCCGTAGAAGGTTGCGTTTCTTTGCAGGCATGTCTTCAGTGCCAGACTGAGACATCTGGACCGATCTCGCGCTGCTTCCCGGGAACGGCCTCGGGCCACCAAGATGACGCTTGAGGCTCTTCTCGGTATTATCATTGACTTCGCCCACGATCTGGGCCTCGGTATCGGCAAGCATCTTCTTGATATCGTCAAACGAGTTGCGCATTTCAGCAGCAGATCGGACCAACGTGACCAGGATTTCCGTGTCTCTAGCGCTTCGCTGCGCATCCCGAACCATGAGCTAGAAATATGTTTGTCAGCCTCCAAGAAACAGACACCGGTGCGGATCGGTGACTTACATGCTCCATCAGCGCAATGATATCGCTGGACTGGATTCTATCGATTCCAGTCCCGGACGCGCGGTCGTACAGGGGCGTCTGCATTCCCTGCGACATGCCGCTAAGTCTGAGGTCCTCTGGTGCGTAGAACGGATCGTCGATCGGACCGAGAGTGGGCGGTGGCAGGGCAGGTTCTTTGCCATTCCTGTTCACATTGTCCCTGCCTTCATTAGGGGCTGCCGAGATGTAGCCTTCATCACCAGCTCCCAATCCTGGACTGCCAGTGTGGAACCCCGCTCCGTAGTGGCTGTTCCCGTAGCTTGTTTGACCAAGCATATTTCCATCGATGCCCGGAAGGTTAGCGATGGGGCTGGCTCCTTCGTAAGGGTTCGTGACTATCGTATCTCTCTTCCGGTCGCCCGACCTTTGCTGCCAGTCATCCTCATGCTCCTGGCTCGGCTGCCTACTATGAGCCATTGCGCCTGCGGTCGCGAGCGTCGCGGCGGCCGCCTCCAGGGCATCGATATCGTGGGTCTTGCCAGCTCTCGGTGTTACAGCACGGTCGGGGCCAGCACCGTCTCTATCCCATTGGCTGTTGTAATCGTAATGCCTCTCGTCCCGCTCGTCTGTGGCTGATGGCGTACGTCGCTCAGACAGGTCGTCTTCGTAGGAGTACCCGATCTCGGGCTCCGGGTTGTTGAAGTCAGGCAAGGCGCTCGCCGTCAACTGGGGTTGCCCGTTGTCATAGAGGCGGTCCGCGCTGTGACGTGGTGTTGCGTCCAATCGGTAGCCGTTCTTAGCTCGCTCTTTGAATGAGCGGTTGCGAGACACGCCTTCGGGAACAAACTCGCCCTCATTGGTCTCGGTCTCGTGCTCGGGCGATCCATGGTCGTTCTTCTTCTTCGCAATTGCAGCAGCGCGGTTCAGAGCAGCAGTCGTGATGGCAGACTCAGAAGTTGTCGGCGACGTCCTACGCGCAGACTGAGGAACCTTCTGTCCAAACTCGTTGAGCTCGTACTCCGTGTATTCATGAGACAAGGCGGAGCCCTGTTCCCTCGAGAGAGCGGACGCCTGGTCCACAGGTGCCGTACTGCTTAAGGATCGCTGAGCTGGGCTGGCTACCCCGGCATGAGTCTCGTTGGCGTTGCCGTCATATGAAACGTGCGAGTCTTTGTAGCTCTGCCCGGCGCTCAGAGAGCCGCTGAGTAGAGAGGGGTCTACGAGCGAAGCCACGGCAGATTCCGGGCCATAATTCTGGTGGATCAACTGCGGGTTTCCGCTGATTACCTTGACAGCCTGGGCTGAGGTGACGGGGCCAATCTCACTGTTCTCGGTATAGACCGTGTTGCGGTAGCCGAGCCCAGAGCTTCTGACGCTGCTGCCATCGTCGCCAAACTCGCGGCTGCGCATGTTACTCGGGATCGAGCTCGACGTACGAAGGTCTCGCTCATGGTGCGGTGATTTCGATGGCGACGATACCTCGCTGACTGTAGGAGCAATCCTAGAGTCACGATGACCTTGGAGTTCGCTTTCGCCCTCTGTATATCCCGACACGCTCTGTATGGGGCTGAGGCCTCGCCTCTCTTGCTGATACGGGACGTAGCGCAGGGGAGCCGGTACGTCTTGGGACCCATAGTACTCGTGCTCGTCATCATACATGCCAGGTTCTGCCAGGTGGCCTGATTCGTCATAGTCGTCGTCGTATGCATCATTTTGGGCGTAGTACTCGTTTCGATGTTGCTCGTCATCGTATTCCTCCTGGTATGGGGCCGCGCCCTTACGGGGTAGCGCCCGAAGGTCACCGTGGGACACGTTGGCGTGCTGCGCGCCCAGATTGTGAAGTGTGGTATTCACCGGTGTCCGCGTGCGCGTGGCGGCTCCGTCCATGGATTCCATCGAACCCTGACCCCTGGCAACTTCGCGGACGGGCATCATCTGTTCACTAGCAGAGTGAGGCCGGTCCGTCGTGGCCGACAAAATAGAGGTCCTAGTCATTTCTGAAGGGTTGATCTCGCTCGACAGCGGCATGGGCGGCACTGGCTCGTGGTGGTCCTCCTCTTCCTCCTCATTGGCGTACATGTCCATGTGTTCACGCTTTGGCGTCTCGGCCCGGCGACGTCTCCGTTGCCGTTTTTCGTCTCCTTGAGATCTCGATCGCAGCGCAGCTGTAGCGACCACCGCGCCAGAGGCGG